ATTAAAAAAGAAAACTTTTGAATGGCCAAGATGGACAATAAACAAAGTCAAAAAGCAACTGATAAAAATAGAGAAAATATTCACAACATATGTTGTAGATTAAATGCTGAATAAACTTAATAGATAAAACATTTTATTTAAATAAAGAAAAAGGTTAAAATTCAGTAGAAAGCATAATTAAAAATGTATGTAAAATACAACCCCTAAACCCAGGCAAAGAATGTTAAGCCAAACTCAGAAAAAGTGAAAATAAAACAAACTTTATGAGATACCAGTTCTTAAATATCAACTTTATAAAACTTTGGTGTGCCTGTGAGAAAACTCTCATCATTTTTCAGTTGAAAACAAATTTTTATTATCTTTTTGGAAGATAATTTGGAGCTATCTTAGAATTTAAAAAACAAACAAAACCACAAATAAATTTTTAAAAAATCACTAAGACTTTATTTTCCATTTGATTCATCAATGTTACTTCTCAGAATTTATCCAAAGGATGCATGTCCAATAATATTAAAATCTACATGTGTAAAATTATTTATTGCAGTGCTGTCTGAAATTGCAGCATATTGGGAACAAAACTAAATATTCTTCCATAAGTGAATGTTCTAATAAGCTGTGGTGCATACATGCAATGGTGTATTCTGAAACTGTAGAAAAGGAAAAATAAAAACATTATTTTAAATTGATATAGAGTTTTTAAAAATATTAAGTGAAACAACAAAAAGCAAAACAGTGCCTATGTTAATGAAACTTTTATGCAAGAAAGAAGTTAAAAGGTGAAATGAGAAAGGAGAAGGCTCATTTGTGTAAAAAGAAGCACAGTCAAATAAATCAGAAACTAATGAAGTTCAAAACGTGCTGGGATGAATGCAAATAGGATGGAAAGATAGGGGAGGTAAGAACAAATAATAAGGAATGAAGAGTGACACTTTTCTGAGTACTTTTTGTATTATTTTGACTTTAGTATTACATATGTTCACATACTCAAAAATAGACATATAATCAAAAAGACAGGGAGGGAAAAGAAAATCAAAGGTTCATACAAACCAAAAAATAAATAAATAGCATAACCACATTGACTGACGGTGGGGAAAAAGTAACTCTTTGATAAGAATTGTGCCTATATACCTCAGGGTAAAAACAAAAGAATGTTTTGAGCGTCTGGAACTCTACTTGGTAGGTTTGGGTTTTTTTGTTTGTTTGTTTCCACTGTTTAAGAAATTTTTATTAAAGTAAGAACTAATAATACAAATTACGTTTCCTTGCTCAGTTTTCAATTTTGTTACTTAAAATGGAACTGACATTTTGAGCTATTCCACAGTAAAGAATTACAAAATTAAAGAAAGAAATGCTTTAAATTTTTGTACTTTGCTGAAAATTCTTTTTCCCAAGGTCTATAAAACATTAATTTGTTTTTGTATTTTACTTTGTTTGTGATTTTGTTTTGTTTTGTTTTAAAATCAATAAGTAATCCAGGACTAGCATCATGTTTGCTAGACCTGGCACTAGCTTGATACATAAGGTTCAAAGTTTTCTTTCCTTTTTCTATTTTATATTTTGCAATTTTTTTCCATAACATTTAAATTTTTTGATGTTTAGATGTTTTTCTTCGATGAAGCACAAGTTTCTTTTCATGGTCCCTGATCAACTTTAAACAATTGCAACACTGGTGGCACAGTTAACTGCTTTCTGGGCAGCCTCTTTAGCTTGGTGGGCTTGTAGTACAGCTACAGTTTCATCAACCTTAGAACGGAGTGACTCTGGAGATTCGAGCATATGAAGAAGTTCTGAATTATCCATCTCCAACAACATGCCAGGGAATTTACCAGCAAGAGTAGGGTGCATGGCTTGAATAAGAGGAAACAGCCGTTCACCCAACATTTACTTTTGCTCTTGAGGAGCGGGAGATGCCAACATGGAAGCAGTCAAAGTTTCCTGACCTTGTACATGAACAGTAGGTTGTTGCATTGTAACTTGTGGCTGTGCATGAAGACGTTGCTGAGGATTGCGAACTCTTGCAGCATACGTATGCCGTGGAAAGGTGTGAACAGCAGGAGTAGCTGCAGCAGCTGCAGCTGCAGGACATGGGCCCATCCTCTGCGTTGATGTGTTAGCAACACGTTGTGTTGACATGACTCGAGGAATCTGTGAAAAAGCTGGTGCCATAGTGCTAAATGGTAGTCTAGGAGCAGCTGGATGGGTAGCACTGGGCATATTTTGGAATGGATGAGGTCTGCCACCCTGAGCAATCCAGCAAGGATTTGGTCTTAGTTGAACAATTTGGCTAGGAACGTAGTATGCAGCACGGTTCTGAGTCTGTGGGAAAACTGCCATGAAATAACCTGAAGGAGGTGCTGGCTGGTAGGGGTGGATCACAGGGTTGGGTACAGCTCGTACACTTGCCATTCTCTGCATATACTTGTTAGTGAGGTGAGCCTGGCGCTCTTCTTTGCACTGAGCTAAAGCTACATACAATGGCTTTGTGGCCAGAATTCTACCTTTCATTTTTGTAACTGCTTTAGTGGCTTCTTCTGGGGAGGAGAAACATACAAAACCAAACCCTTTGCTGCGACCACCCTCCATCATAACCTTTGCACTAGTGATCTTGCCAAACGGAGAAAACTCTTTGCGGAGACGTTCATCATCGATACTATCATCAAGATTTTTCACATAAAGATTAACACCCTGATATCTGGTGATCTTGTCACGCTTCATCTGTTCAAATTTGCGCTTAAGTTCTGTCTGCCGTTCCCCCTTTTGCTGAGCTCGAGCAACATAAATTTGTTTTCCATTGAGCTCCTTTCCGTTCATCTCATCCACAGCTTTCTGTGCATTTTCATGCCTTTTAAAATTTACAAATCCAAATCCTTTGGATTTTCCACTTCCATCAGTCATCACTTTCACACTTAAGACAGGCCCAAACTTGCTAAAGAGACCCTTAAGGCACTCGTTGTCCATATCTTCTCCAAAATTCTTGACGTAAACATTGGTGAACTCTTTTGCCCTAGCTTCAAATTCAGCTTCTCGTTGTTTACGAGACTTAAATGGTCCAACAAATACTTTGCGATCATTTAGGAGCATTCCATTCATTTTTTCAATAGCACTTTCAGCTGCTTCTTGTGTCTCAAAGTGTATAAATCCATAGCCCTTGGAACCATTTTCATCACAAACCAACTTACATGAGAGGATGTTACCAAAAGTAGAAAATGTATCATACAGTGCTTTACTATCAATGGATTTGTCCAGATTTTTAATGAATATGTTGCCCACTCCACTTTTGCGAAGTGATGGATCACGGTGAGACCACATGATGCGTACTGGCTTGCCCTTTATAACATCAAAATTCATGGTATTCAAAGCACGATCCGCGTCCAACGGCTGCTGGAAGTTCACATACGCGTAGCCCAAGGAGCGGCCAGTGACCATGTCCCTGCAGACCCGGATGGAGAAGATGGGCCCGACCGGGCTGAACTTGTCGTAGAGCATCGTTTCAGTCACGTCTGGGTGGAGGTCCCCCACGTAGAGCGAGGCCATGAGGTAGCTGCGGGCGCTGGGGTTCATCTCGGCACGGCTGACCACAGAGCCACAGGCCACGACCTTTCCGTGAGAGGAGGAGAGCAAGTGCCAGGGCCCAGGACCAGAGCCGGGGGTAATGGGGGTGGGGGCAAGCGCAGAGGGACAAAAAGCCACCGGAATCGAAAACTACTCTACGGTTGCCGAACGCAGTCTATCCGCTTCCGTTGGCTGCCCGCTGCCGGCGGGAGCGATGGTGGCGGTGGCGGGTCCGGGCAGCGGGAAGGCCTCGGTCTCTTGGTTCCTTCTTCGATCTGTTTCCGGGCCCCGGGCAGGCGGGTTGCTCTCGGCTGCTTCACCAGGTTATTTCATAAAAGAGGAGAAATAAATAAATGTCTCCGGCGGGGGAGACGCGGATTTTTTGTAAATCTGGGGGGCTTTTTTAGATTTTTTATTTTTATTTTTTTTATAATAAACGTGTGTTCTGAGCCCGGAGCACACACCCGGCACACTCAGCACTAACCGCCTGGGAGAAGCGGCTAGGTTTCTTTTATACTGGTATAGTTAGCAGCTCTGCAAGTCTAAAGATTATAGTCTTGAAGCATTGTTGATTTGCTGACTTTCATCATTGTGCTGATAATATACAACAGAATGTCTATGTATTTTAAGAAATGCCCTCTGAAGTAGTTAGGGGTAAATGAGAATTACATTTGCAACTTATGATGCAACAGTTATAAAGTTAGATGCACAGTCACACTTACAGAAAAAGGCAGATAAAAAGACAAAATAGCAAGCCAATAAAAAAATCACTAAGAATTCATTTTTCTTATGCATACGTATGGGTGCACAAAAGAAGTGATAAAAGCAAATGTGGCAACACATTAATATTTGGCAAATTTCAGCGAATCTGGTGAATGCGTGTGGACTTTTTGGTACTTCATAAATTTCAATAAGTCAGAAATTATTTTAAATCCAATGATATCAAAAGGAAGGACATAAAATAAATCTACCTTCATCATTGCTCAGCTATCTAAACGTTTCTCATTTGTGAGGAAAGCGAAGACCACCTGGTGACTATCAAACAGACGATCCAGAACCAAAATTCCTTATCTGAGAAATTTCGAAGTAATTAGACTTCTCTATTATCTAAAGCTGGCATCCAGTACCATGCTGCGTTTCCCAAATTTGTGAGTAACTAGAATTTCTACACGTCTCTGGAATGCATGCATGTCGAAATTCATTGTGCAGCCCTTGCTGACATTAAGGCACCAAAATGTCTACAAATGTAATCATTTATCATGACCTATATGGCTAATGTGGTCCAGTTATACTTCAGCTCCCACTTTAGGGTCCACAGGGCCACTAAGGAAAAGTCCACCCGGTATGCTCAGTCCTCTCTTGCTGAGGCACCTGCTGCATTATTCTGCAGCATTCTTTCTACGGAATAACACTTTCCTTTTCAAACCTATACTGTTGTCGGTAAATTCTTCTCAACACCCGTGAGCAAATCATTTTCCATTGCTAGGGCTCTAACACCTGGCCCAATAATTCATTGCATTTATTTGAGTGATTACCAAAAGGAGCAACCCCTGCTACATCCTGGCAGTGGAAAAATCATTGAGAGACAAGCTATAGCACCAAAGGAAATTCCAACGCTATTGGTTCACAACATTGTATTCCTGGACCACAGTGAGGATTAGGGATGCTGGACTGCGTGAGGGGCCTGGGAAGCTGGAGAGGGACATGGGTACAAAATGAATGACCAAAACCATGTTAATGGCACTCACCATGTTAATGGCACTTCACAAACTAATGTGAATAGACACCCCACTCTCACCGAACATTTAGAGCAATAAAACACCTGGGCAAACGAGATGCCTAACTTCAGAACCAACACATACTTCAAGAACAAGAAGGGAATGTTCTAATTTCTGTGTCAATTTAATACTCTCAACGTGTTTCAAGAGGATGGTCCAGGCAGAAAACAAGAAAAGGTTCCTATAAAAAGCAGGAGGGTAAGATGTGTTTACATGTGTGTACACATATGTATGTGTGAATGTGTGTGTGTGCACATATACATCAAGTTACATAAATATATACAGTTACATAAATAAGTACATATACAGTTACATAAATAGATATTACATTTATTTTTATATAATTAAATAAATTTCCCTCGAAAAAATTTTTGAAATTTAGAAATGAAATGTAAAGTAGACTGAAAAGAAAAACTCCCTGGTGAAAAATTGTGAAAAGAAAAAAGTCCAGAAGTAAATAATCCAAGAATTTATCATGATAAGTTTGTGTCCTACTTTTCTTCACAATAAATCAAGGTCTCTCAATAGCCGAAGAGGGAAAATATATATATATAATTTTAACCCGGGAATGTGAGAAGAAGCCAAATATTCAAGGGTTAGAATAAAATTTTATTAAATATAAGAATTCAGATTTTTTTACAATTATCTCCGCATTCATGCTTCTTAATTTTTTTTAAAAAAAGGTTATTCTTAAAGAAAACTTCCAATATTAATGAAAAGAAACAGAAGACATATCAGAACAGATCACCAGGAAATAGAACCAAATCGAAAGGAAAGCTTAAAGTTAATTCAGGATCCAATAAACCTTGATCCTTGAAAATATCTTTGTTAAGCAGTGAAGTTTAAATAATGCAGAAATACATTTCCATCCCTTTGAATCCAATTAAAAATTTTAAATGAATAATATTTACATAATATTGGAATACTTTCTCTTATTGAGAACGTTTTTGGAATTCAACCAATAATAAAGCCCAAAAGACTTTCTCAGATTATAGGAATTTGGAAATTTAAAAGTGTTATAAAAATAAAAATTAGAAGAAAGAAGAGATGTACCAATTTTCTGAAATTTTAGATAATAAACATCAGAAACTAGCTTGGATGCATCTGAAATACTGAAGGTTACTAAAGTTGAAATGTTCACTATAAATTATAAAAATTACATTTAAAATGTTTAAGTTTGACATTGGAGAGTGAGATTTTTGGGGCTGGGGGTTTTAAAAAATAAGAGCATTTTAATGAATTTCCCAGTGGGTTTGAATAATTTACATTGCTTGATTTGAAACAGCATAGGGTATAAATGAATTGTATATCTACATGTATAATTTCTGTAGCCTGAAAACACCTGTAATTAATTGGAAAGCGATGACCCTTTTGCTGAGAAAGGATTCTACTGTAGAGATTCAGAATTCTGACTTTGGAAAAAGCAAACCTCTTCTGAGGTAAGGGGCCATGGATAGGGTATCAAACCTCTAAGCCTTGGTTTTGTCAAAGCCAAATAAAATACAGAGGTGAATCTCTGAAATTAAAACATTTGTTTGGGAAGAAAGAATTGCAATTCGGGGGATATACACAGCCCTGGTGCTCTTCACTATGTCTGAAGAACAAAGAGAAAGTTAGAGGTTTTAGGAAAAGGAGAAATGTTATGTATTGCTCTTTGAGAAAGTTCATTGGCACTAGTAAGGTTTTGGGGACCCGGCAAATTTTGAGCGATCAGTGAGGGCAGCCACAGCTGGTTGTTTCAGCAGCTGGTAGATAAAACCAGTTTCAGGTCACAGCAGGCAGTTTTAGCTGCTGGGCTTGCAGAGAATTCCATTTTAGGAGCAATCCTCTGACTCCTAAGTGCTTTTTCCTCCTGATCTCTCGACTCTTGTTTTCGTTGGGTATGACAAGAATGACTCACTTAGTAGTACCAGCTTTCACAGTTTCTTAGCCTGATTTGGATTTTTATCAAAATCCTGAAAATGCTTACCTCAGTGGGCAGTTATGAAGATCAAATGGTAGAAACAAGCAGAAGGATCAGTGGAATCGTGGCAACAGCAGAAACTGGTTTGCTGTAGTTGTTGGTATCAATTGGAAGTTATTGAATGAAAGAGGAGATTAAGCCATCAGATAGTAGGAGTCCATGTGAGTTTTAAGATTGGAAGTAAGCTTTAAAAGGAATCTGACCCTACCAAGACACATCTGAGACTCAAGCAGATCAGTAGAAATGGTGCAAACAAACTACAGTTTATAAAGGCCATTCTAATAGGTCAAGAATATTCCTGAGTAGCGTTTCTCAAACTCCCTAAAATCTCTTCATATTCTTCAAACATTTCGAGAGAACTTTGCTAATGTGAATTTTAGCTGTCCAATATTTACCACTGTGTACTGAGAATTAAATATATATATATATATATTTATTAATTTATTTTAAAATGGCAATAATAAACA